CCCGCCACCACCACGCCCAGCTAATTTTTGTATTTGTAGTAGAGACAGAGTTTCACCATGTTGGCCAGGCTGGTCTCGAACTCCTGACCTCAGGTAATCCACCCGCCTCGGCCTCCCAAAATTCTGGGATTACAGGCATGAACCACTATGCCCGGCCAGGTGTTGACTCTTAAAAATGAATTACTCAAATAGAAAGAACAAAGGTTGAAAGCGCCAGGAATTTTTTCTAAAGCAGAACAAAGGGTAGAAGTCAAAGTAGCATTTTTTAAATTCTTGTAGGAGAAGCCTTGACAAATAGCTTGTCTTTTCTTAGCACATTTTACGTTTCCCATCCAGGCTGTGAGTGACATTCCTTTCTGCTTGGAGGTTCTGAAAAACATCTGGCCTGGTCTGGCACAGACCCGGCTTGCTGGTGAATCTTTCTTCCTATGTAATAGCAAAAATAGGATAAGTAACTGATGTTCCAGGATGATATAGGTGCAAGAGTGGATCAGGGATTTCCAATGAGTAAAGAATTCAATTCCAGCTGAGCTGGTTAAATCGTGAATTCCCAGTCAACAGTACAATATTTAACACTGGGAGGATATTTAATAAATATTGTTAAATGTATGAATTCACTAATGGATTAAAAAAACACAACTACCCTTTGAGGAAAGATGTATTTCTCATTTGCAGATAAAAAAAAAAAACTCAAAGCATTTAACAATGGTTGCCTCAAATTATAGAATTGCCAATAGACTAAGCCAGGACATGGGCTCCTAGTCATTTGACTAGAAACACCTTATTCTAGACACTACTTTTTTTTTCTCTTAGAGCTTTACCTACGAGGGATTTAGTCTCAGTATACCTTATATGGGCTAAAGAATAATCTGGCTGGAATATCAGTCTCACCACTGACCATTAGCATTGATGACAATAGACAGTTTGGAAAATACAACATTGGCAATATTAAAAGACTTCTTTATTATGGTGCTTATTAGAGCTTCTAATATGCCAATACATGGCAGAAATAGACTGCAACATTCCCTAAACCTCACCAAGCAGTGCATTTTAGACATAACATAACACCAATGTTGCACAGTACTTTTGAGAAATATGGAGTCACCATTTTGCCTGTCTTATCTTTGCTACCTAATTGGATGGTGGCCAAAATTGAGAAATTGTCTCACTTCATCTTCGGAACAACTAACCTGGCGAGGCAGCTGTTCGCCACCATCTGAGTATGAGATGTCAATTTAGAGCGTTTCAGAATGAAGACCCGGTCCTATGGTTATTTATCTAACCGTTACCTTAAACAAAACAAAACAGCAAACAAAAGCCTGTGCTTGTTTCAAACCTACTCAGGAACTGAGCAGCTCACTGAAAGTTTGTGCAATGCCAGAATGCGGGTTCATCTTTGCTTTCTGACTGCTGGTGTAACTTGAGCCAAAAAAAACCTTGATGAGATACATATGAACAAATTAAAGTTAAAATAATCTCTCTCCTATCATGCCCTCAATGAATAAATGTGACATGAGGTACATTCAAGATGTTGCCCAGATGATCTATAGGACCTTGTTGGGGTACACATGCGGATTGTTTTTGGTCGAATTATTTTGTCTTTGTTGTATATATAGGTCATCTTTTAAGAGATATAAAAATGAAACTGAAATAATGATATCAGTTAATTGATAACAGATAGGGTGCCTTTCTGCCTACCTACTTGGCTCTAGGACTTTCAAGAAAATAAAAGGGGCATTCCATGACATATGTATCAACTCAGAAAAGAAAAAAAAATCCAATAAATAAGTTACATGTAGACCAAACTATTATATAGGTTCTATTTTTTTTTCTTTTCTTATTATAAAACGGGATTGAAAGCTACATCACTTCACCACTAGAACTCCAATGCACCATCCATTGCTCCACAGAGCTGCCTACAAGTTACATCACTTCGGAGTGTAGTCTTTCTTCAGTTGTCGTGTCACAGCGCTGTATAGCCTTTGCAGGCAACTATTTGAGAAGTGAGTATCCAGCTGCCTAAGACAATGCTGAAAATGCCCCAAATACACAAATCCACTGCAGGGGAAGAGTAATAATCAAAAGTAGCATTAAGGAGATATTTTAGAGTCTAAAGAGGTTTTAAATTCAGAGTGCTCATTTAAGTATGCTTAGTATAGTATGGTGGTTAAGAGCTCAGATCAGGGAGCTGAACTCCCAGGTTTTAAACACAGTTCTGTTTTTATAACCTTGAACAAGTTGTTTAAACTTTATATATCTCAATTTTCCCT